AAATGAACATCTATATATCTGTGTGACCCGGGCACTCAATTAGTTTACCCTCTCCTCATAATTTTGGAAAAAATTCTTGGTTTCGTGATAAACCTTGAAATGAATTGTTTTCACTGACTCCTTTATTTCCTTTATCTTTTTCTCTTCTTTTTCCTCTAAACGCAACAACCTACTGCACCTTCTTATATAGTTCCCCACAATCTTTCTAGAAGATTCTACATATTTACAACACGACTATTTTTAGTAACATTACGTTATAGAATTTTCCAGAATTGAGGGTAAACAAGTCGAGTTTGTAGTAAATGGTTTGAACCCGAGGGTAACATGTGAAGGTGTAGTCTGATCGTCCGGGTGAGTGTAGTCCTGAGAAGGACTGTTGTCGGTGGCAGTGACTGACGTTTCGACAACCTGTGCAGAAGTCATCATCAGAGTCAAGTGAATGATACTGACAACAATCATTCACTTGACTCTGATGATGACTTCCGCACAGGTTGTCGAAACGTCAGTCACTGCCACCGACAACAGTCCTTCTCAGGACTACACTCACCCGGACGATCAGACTACACCTTCACATGTTACCCTCGGGTTCAAACCATTTACTACAAACTCGACTTGTTTACCCTCAATTCTGGAAAATTCTATAACGTAATGTTACTAAAAATAGTCGTGTTGTAAATATGTAGAATCTTCTAGAAAGATTGTGGGGAACTATATAAGAAGGTGCAGTAGGTTGTTTCGTTTAGAGGAAAAGTGCAGCAAGTCATACCCCACGCGTTTTAAAATGGAGTTGGTAATGCTTCGAACCGTGTGTAAATTAAAGGGTGCTTCCATTAGTCAACATTTGAGTCTTTGACGTCAGCTTGTGGTTACCAGGACGATATTTTTGTTTACAAAACATCGACGTTATGTTCTCTTTGTCAGTGAAATGGCAGACCCTTGAACAAAAGGAAGTAATCAAACAACAATAGTTAAGGTTACGGAAATAACCGGTACTATACTGAAAGAGTAGACTGTTATTCCTTGATGACGCCGGACCTATGTTTTTATTTGTTATCAGTATTTGCAACTTAGAAAACCCCTTAAATTTAAAATCGTGCTACATGTGTTGGTCTCGCTTTATATTTACTAAGTATTTATTTGAACAAAAATATAACTCACAGGAAGCACAACGATCGAAACCTCGGTGAGCTTGCCTAACGCTTCTACTATTTACGTGGAGCTTTTCAGCGAAGGGGCAAATAAAAAACAGGACCAGCGCTCGAAAACATCAAAACAAGTCATTCCTGATTCAAATTAAAGCAAAGCTTTCTGCTGTAGCCTGTTCGGTCAAAAAGGAACCCGGCCAGTATTCATCGATCTCGACCTCAGGCCTGCTTAATAACGCATTTGTAACATAGCCAGCGAGTGGAAGAAATTTTTTTTAAATGTTCTTAGATATATCAACGTGTATAAACAGCCGAGAATACCAGTTATCCTTTCATTGTTAACGCCTTGATAATCCTAAAATTGAAGAATCCTGGATCATCTACGAATCCGAAAAACTCGCCTCTAGTGTTAACTTCGTCTTATTTCAAATAGAAAGCTCTAGACAAAAAAAAATCAGGAAAGGGGAGTGTACAGGTATGAGACGATTTGCGTAGAATATAAAATAAAATAAAAATTTAAAAAGCGCTTTTGTAAAGGGTTCCACTCTTTGAACAATATAAGGTAAGCAATTGCATGTCTAGAAGTCTTGAAAAGTGAGACTGACCAAAGGACGACAATTCGATGCCCTACTAACCCTGCCCTTATAATATCTTTTCGTTTTGCTTTCCCGTGATACGTTGCTGACTCATTCACTTCCGCTTGTCACTGGTCTTGGGACGATCAAATTTGCAAAAACTGATTGCATACCTGAGATATAATTCGAAGGAACAGGTAAGACGCTTTCTTCTACATTTCCTCTGCATGGGCGTGACTCTAATCCTTTAGTTAAAGTTTTCTTGAAGATCTGTTGAAGTTGTAGATTTTTTTTATTGAGAAATCTGTCAGATGAGTGCGATGTAAGTGAGTGATCCACTTGTGAGAATCGGCATCAAAATCGAAAGTTGAGAGAGTTTCATAACTATAGAAATGTCATTTGTGATACTTGAAAGATGATTGACCAGCTCATTCAGTATATTACTAATATTTGGAGCCTCGTTCGGTTCCTGTTCGATGATAATTTCGGTTTATTTCTCGACATAGAATGATCAGAGCGGCCGGTGCATCGTGATATTTACTCATTATCATTATCCCGCTCAAGCGAATAAACAAAACCTTTGGTTTTGATAAATGATACATCATACACTTTTACCTCCGGAGAGAATGATGATATGTAATCTCTGTCGCACGGTCCAAACAAACATGGCGAGCAACTGCGCTACAAGTATATGTCCGTGTTAAAACACACGAAAGGACTCTAAAGCACACCTCACTCTGATTGGGCAGAAAAACACAAAGATTTTCTGGCACCAATCAGATGGCAGAACGACTGCGACCGTTTGGAACTAGTCTTGTAAGACAATGTCCCCAGGGGCTCTTCATGCCCTAACTTGAAATCGAC